ATAGTTCTCCAATTTCCTCCATCAAGCTCAGGTCACACATGTGCCCTTACCTGGCGTACTCCATCCTCCAGTCTTGGCCTTTGGGGTGAGCCCACATATCCACCTCAGAACCTCTTCCAAGAACTGACTGATTATCTCACTTCCTAGCTAGTATCATGGCCAAACTAATGTGGCTCATCTGCTGATGTGACATTCACTAATGAATACTAGGCTGTTAGGTAATCTCCCCTCACCCCCCAGCTCTAGCTTTTGTATGTGCAAGTGGTGGTCAATGGAAACTAGCTCAGAGCAGGTCTTCCACATGGGTGGGTGCATTGGTCTGAGCTAAAAAAAGATCCTTCAATTTCTCACCTTGAAATCACTGTTTAGGCCCCCTTGCTTAACTACAAGTACAATGGCCTTGTAGGAAGTCCCCAAGAAACCCATTTCCCTCCTGTAACATGCTCCCTCAAAGGTCTCATTCCCCCACCCTGTTTCCTGATCAAATCCATAACCCCCCTGCCCTGGATTGCATGGGTTCCCCATCCTGAATTTCTAGCAGTATGTTGTACTAACCTAGCACCTTGCATGCCCACTTGGGACCCAAGTACATGCATGGGCTTATCTAACAGTGTACTGTCTTCCTTAGACCCAAACATGTGTATGAGCCCTCAAGCCTAAACAACCAGCACACCATGTCAGCATGCCAATCCTATATGCTCTCCTCACCCTTTTCCCAAGAATACAAATGTGTGAGAGTACCCAGGCCTACTTTGATGGCCCAGGCCCTGGTATAGTTTCCCAGTCCTAAAACCCACCTGGGTAGCATGGTAGAAAACAAGTGTGTTTTAGAGAGCCTTCAATAGCAGAACATATGTAGAAGCATATTCTATTTTTGAAAACCTATCCTAGAAAGACTACAGGAAAATATAAAAATTAATCTTGAGGCACATACATTAATTTCCTGACATCTAGCATGACAGAGCCTGTGAAACTGTGTCACATAATGCAACATAATTAAAAAAAAAAAAAGAAATATATTGTGACAATAGGATGCTGGATTCTCTGCCAATGTCATAGCTATAATGTCAAGATACACTTAAATAGAATGATCGACTTATGACTGTTATGAAGGACTATACTACTGTAATCTTATAGGGGAAATCGGTGGTGGAAGCGGACATGAGGAAGCTGGTGAAAGGAAATTCCAGAGCCTATGCAACTATATCATAAAATTAAAAAAAGATAAAATAAGATTATCTGGAATAGCAGGAACAGAAACAGAAACAGAAACAGGAAAGAAACAGTTATACTCTGTGAGTCTGGCAGTGAAGATCTAGCATGTCTGCTTATATAGAAGTCTCCATCTTTGATAGCAACATTCATACTTGACTGGGAAGGGTGGGTCTCCCACAACTCAGATAGGTAAAGAGGATGTTTCAAGGATCCACCAGTATGGACGCAAGAGTGTGATGGGGTTTGATCAAGTTTGGATATGCTTGTAGAAATATATCATCACTTTAAAATCAGAAGGTATCAGATTCATCAAGGGGTAAAAGTGACAAAAAGGTGGTTGGTGGGTGTAACTGGTAGTTTTTGTATTTCTGTGTTTATGAAATAAAAAGTGTTGTGAGTGAAGTTTTTGGAGGAGACTTAGCGGGAGGTGGCACCGCACCACAGGTTTGGTGTTATCTTAACCTTGGCCCACTTTGCTTCTGAAGTTTGGAGTACACTACATGCCCCTCTAGAAATGAACTTGCCTTGAAGTTGAATAGAGGAAATGCAATGTGGATTCTGCTAGCAATGCAAATGCCCTGGTTCAGGGATATGTCCCCTTGGAGAAAAGATATCTTTTCTTTAGTTGGATAGCATAAGTGAACAGTTTCCTAATTTTCAGTTGTTGCATTCTTTCGCTGAGATGCTAACTCCACCAGAGAACCAGCAGTGATCCCATCACATTTCTCGATGGGGATAACTTGAGAAATCAGTTGTGGCTTGTACCTGTGCTGAAGTCAAGCTTATTGTTTTCCTCTTGTATCTTGGCAGGGACTGAGAGCAGACAACATGCCCAGGCAGGCTTGCCTTGGAGAAATGAGCCCACAGGTGAGAAGAGTGGAACACAGCTGCTCTCCTCTGCTGCCTCAAAGAACACAGGAAAGTTTACTTTTCCTTGGGGTGGCTACACCTTTAAAGATGACAAGGCCAGAGCTGCCCTGCTTCTGCAAGTTAAATGAAAGTAATGGGCCTGGGGGGAGATGAGCTGCTAAAATCACTTTCTTATAACCACATCATGAGGAATCATCTCACAATGTGTTCACATCAGAGGCTTAGCTGGGTGAGTGTCTTTCTTTTTTTTTCTTCTCATGTATAGTATTTTTCAAGGGTTTGTGGGTTCTGGGATAGTTTTTGACAGTTCTACACTTATGGTATCAATCTTAGATCACTGAAATTGGCAATTTTATCAATTATATTTATACATGAGTGAATAGCTTTGCAAAAGTATACTTGTAGTTTTGTACCAGCCTGAGTTGGAATTGCTTTTAACGCATTTAACACATTTCAATTTAACTCATTTTTTCAATTATCTTTGATCTAGCAGCATACAAGTGCCCTGAAGTGAATCAACATGCTTTCGTGATAGTGCACTGATGCCCTATGCGTAAGGTGAAGTTACGTAACGTGGACCCAAGGCGGACATGGAGCACAGGTGACATTTTTCACTTTTGTCTAAATTCAACATTTAACAGGTTGCTAGGGTATGACCTCATTGGAGTGATACACAGGTAAGCATGAGACTAGTCCTTACTAACACAGCTTTTTTCTTTGTCTGATGTCTACTTGATCCTCACGATTTTAACAATGCATTTTTAGGAAGCAACTTTGAATTTACTCAAGTTTAGTGCTTATGATTGTTGCCTTGTCCTGCTGTTATTTTTGTCTCCTACCTCTTAGTGAAAATATTGTTTATTTATTTATTTATTTATTTTTACTGAATCTTACTGGAAACTCAGGTTGTGAGATTGTGCATATGGTCATCACTAACTCTGTGTTTTAGGTTTATCTACATTAAATTCCACTTCTAAAGAAGAGGTGACATAGTGTAGTAATTCAATGCTATCAGAGGTTTATCCTGTTTGTTCTAGAATTTGTTGCTTTTATTTTAAAATGTGTTTTGAGTAGAGTTAATCATGTTAGAAAAGATGGTTATCTGCTTGATTTTACCAGATAACTTAACTCCATGGAAACACTGTCAACTAGTCACACCTATTTTTTCATCAGAATTTCTGATTAAATTTTGGTCTTGTGAATGATGTCATATGTCTTCAAATGCCTCTCAAGAAATATGATAAAACTTACAATAATGATAGCACTTGTGATTAGCATAGTAATAAAGCAACAATATTTTTTTAACCATAGATATTTCTTATTCTTAAATCTATACAGAAGACAGAAATCAGTGTACATTCATTCATTCATAAAATAATGCTCAATTTAGCATTCATACTATAGCACTACTCAAATAACTGCTGCTGAGTTCAGCATAAGAAAAAATGTCATATGGAATAATTTTCTGAAAGAAACGATTGTGATTAAGTAGCCTCTTTGGTAAGAAATTTTACATTAGAGATTGTACATCAGAGGATGTTTCTCTCTCCCTCTGTATCCGTTTTAGTTTTGCATAATTCATTTTAAAAACACACTTTTTGTTCTAATTAGTCCTCAAGTTTTGCAGATGGTTTCTCACCATCTTGCTACTCTGTTTCATGCACCTGTCAAATCCAAGGCCTTTTAGAATGTGATTCAGAGATACCTGGCAATAGCCAAATTTTCTGATGTCACCTTTCTTAAGGCCAGTAGCATTTATTGCAGTGATCCTTCCATGATGGGTAAATGACTCACATGAAAATACAGAATACAAGATTCGCCTTGAAACTCAAATAATGGTATTTTCAGACTCATATATGTGCTATAAACAATTATCATTTGTAAGATCATGGGAACTTTGACAGCTTTCAGAGAAAAATTACCTATATATTTCACTGTGGCTGTCAATGTTCATTCATAGTAACCAGGTCTTTTATCTCTCAATTTGGATGTTATCAAGAGTCTCTTGGAAAAGGAGGACATTTGATGATATTTAGGATCAAATCTGTTTCAGGGCATGGCAGGCATGTACATGATGAGGACCATGAGTTAGGGAGAATCAGCCAAATATTACTGTGGTGGAAGAAGAAAATATTAAAATTCTTCCCTGATCTCCCCTTTTAAAATTAATTTGTTTTACTCAATGGCTCATGATGCATGAAATAGACCAATGCATTTTCATACATATTTAACTTAAATAATTGCACAGACAATATTCTATGCTTACATATTAAAATTGATTGATTGTGATCTCTCCAATGTGGAAGTAATCAATCATGTTGTCAACTTGATCTGAATGCTTCTCCTGGCTCCATGTTGTGCTAACTGTGCAAATACAAGTATATGGAACAACCAGTTAACAGTTATGATTCACAAATATTTTTGCCCTCCCAGATTAATGCTTTGAAGAATGTTCAACAACCATTTAATTGACTAAGCACTGAGTCCTCTGTAAACTCATTTCAAGTGACATAGTTTAGGAAGGATTTTATATTTCTGCTATCTCTGTATTTGAGTCATTTTGTTTCATGTATGTGTGCATATATGTAGAGGGTACTTGAAAAGGTACAGAAAATGAAATTAAAACTCAGATTTTTTTGAGAGAGACACAAATATAGAGGTCTTCAAAAGATTGAAAATGATATAAGATGACAACTTATCATGTTATAGAGAAAGTAATAAATTTTTATTTTTTTATTAAAAAGAATTTCTACTAAAATGCAGAGGTTATTAAAATAAGTGGGTAAAATAGAAATGATGTTTTGTGATTATTTTTTATGACAAAATGAAGTTCATGGGTGACACAAGGTTTGTCCTTTGTATTACAGATAGCTGACATATTTCCAAGTTTGCTGAGATGAACAAAGCCTCCACTTATGTTATCATTAAGAAATGTGTATACTTTCCAAGCTGGCATTGGCATCTTAGCCAATGTCTTCCTCCTTGTCTTCCACATCTTCACAATCCACCGGGTTCATAGGCCAAGGCCTACTGATATAACCACCTTTCAACTGGCCTTTGTGCACCTAGTGATGCTAGTTATTGCTCTGGATATTTTATCTGCAGACATGTTCAAATGGCCAACTTTTCCCAATGAACTGAAATGCAAGCTTTTGTTCTACCTGAGTAGGGTGATGAGGGGATTCTCTATTTCTAGCACCTGTCTCCTGAGCATTGTTCAGGTCATCACCATCAGTCCCAGCTCTTTCTATTTGTCAACATTTAAATACAAACTAACAAATTATATTGTCATTGCTTCCTTTTGTATTTGGTTCCTCAACCTATCTTCCAGTAGCAATATGATCATCTACACTGTAGCTCATTCTAACAGGACCAATCTACTCAATGTCAGCAAGTACTGCTCATTTTCCTCAATGAACTCTGTCATCAGGAAAATATTTTTTATGCTTGAATTATCCCAGAGTGTCTTCTTTGTAGGAATCATGCTGCTCTCCAGTATGTACATGGTGATTTTCTTATGTCGCCATCGAAGGAAGTCTGAGTACCTTCACAACATGAGCATTTCCCCAAGAACCTCCCCAGCAAAACGGGCCACCTGCACTGTCCTAGTGCTGGTGAGTTTATTCGTGATTATGTACTGTGTGGATATCACCATCTCAGCCTTTTCATCCATACTGTGGAAATATGAGCCAGGCATTGTGGATATCCAGAGGTTTATGGGAAACATCTATGCCACTGTCAGTCCTTTGATACATATTAGTTCTGATAATAGGATTCTTGGTCTTCTTAAAAAAAAGTGATTGATTTGACAATAATTGTAATGCTGATGAAGCAAGTCTGAAAAAATAAAATATGTTGTTGAAATATTCATAAATCCAGAATTTTAATGTACTATAAATGTGCAGAATATTATTTGCATTTTAACGTGTGTTTAATTTATTTTCACTTTGACACTGCCAAATCTATGAGTTTCTTGGTTTTATATTTTTCTTGTATTGACATTTCTGCCTCTTGCACTTTCCTCATTTTGAGTAGAAAACATTTTCTGAGTTTGCTCATAAGAAGCTCCTTTTGACTCCTAGTCTTTAGGTCTTGTTGCTTTGGAAAATAATCTAAATTTACTTGTTGAAAGCCCACTAACTAAATATCTAATTCTAGCATTACAGTTTGTCTGTAATGGTAAACATTTGTTTTTGTTGTTACACTATATAAGCTCTTGTAAATTTAATCTTGATTTTGTAGATTAGGATCCTTCACTCACTTATTTAGCTTTTCTTGCTCTTTGAGGTCACACCATACAGGATGTATTTATTTTTTTTTTAAATAATGTTCATTTATCGACACAGTAAATTTCTGAATGCACATATTTTTGTCTTGTGGTCAGTTTTGGAAAGGTTGTGTAATACTTTCATTTCTTTTATACATTCCATATAAATGCTGGATTATTTAATTTATTCTCAATTGAATTTGTCTATATATACGAGTATAATTTCAAGGACATTATAAATTTGTATCTGTTTTAATGTACTTAACCTAACTGTGTTAAAACTACACTTCAGTTGTCTTTTTTTAAACTTGGTTCAATTTATAGAGAGTGAACAAACTGAGTTTGTCAGCAGATGTTTTCTTCAATTAGCACAGGTTATGTATTGAGTAATTTCACTATACTTAACAGTTATTTACTTGCTTTTTTCCAAACATGCATTTATAATCATATGCTTTCATATCATTTGGTTTGAATTCGTCCATATTTATTTTATTGACTTACATATTCAAATATCACTGCAAAGGCAAATTTTGTAGTGCAGATTTTATCTTGTTAGTTAATTTATTTCTTGTGTAAAAAACAATATATTGATTTTTATAAGTCAGCCTGTGATGTTCACAGTTGATTATATCTCATTCTTTTTCTATCTCCAATCTGAATAATCCAAATAGACTGTTATACACCTGATATTCTTACATGAATGTAAAAGTTGCTTCTTTGGTCCCTTCTTTGTTTTGCCATTCTTTTTAGAAATCCTCAAATTTTTTTTTCTTACATTTTTAAGCATTTTGTGAGTGTAATGAATTTTGGGTACAACCTTCTGCACCTGAAATAGTTTGACAAGCTTTTATATAAACTATTTAACATTGATTCATATCCTCTAACCACAGGCATTGATCACCTTGGAAGAGAGGGGATAAGGCTGTGATATTGTCAATAAATGTCATTGTATCCTCCTTGCTGCTGACAAGAGAAATCTAATATGAACTTGGGTAACACCCTGGATTCTCTCCCCATCCTGAGCACTTCCCAGAGATCCATGGTGCAAAAGTACAAACAATTTGATACTTGCACAAGAAGCATAGTTAAAGGAAATGAAAGCCACCACAGAATAAGACCAAGAAAATTTTCTGCAAATTCCTAACACTTAGTGGAAAAATGCGAGAAACAAGATCAAGGAAGATGATGTGACTTCCCCAAAGTAAGATAATATTGGTTCTATAGTAGAGTATGAAGCGGTTAATGAAATACATCAAAAGGAATTTCAGAAAATGATCATAAGATTACTACAAAATGAGCAGAAATGTAGTACTGACCTAAAGAAACCCATACATTATGTAGATGAAAAATATTGCTGAGGTAGACATATAGAAGTGAAATCAAACTGAAATATATTGCAAATGAAGAATTCAATATGTTACTCAGAAAATACACTGGCAACCCTTAACAGTGACCTTGATGACAAACTGGAAAGGCTATGCAAGTTACAGGACAGATCCTTGGAAATAATCCAGGCCAAAAAATAGAGAAACTAAAAATCACTAGATGTTGGGAGCTTATCAAGTGACCACATAGAAGCATCTTAGTGTTCCTGAAGGTGTAGAAATGCAGAATGAATTAAGAGCACAATTAGTAAAATACTAGCATAAAATATTCCTAATGTGGAGGGATATGCAAGTACAGGAAACACAATGAATCATTAATTGGCATGACAGGAACTTTTTAAATCATGACAAATTATAGACAAATATTCAGCAAAAATAAAACAAAATTCTAAAATGAATGTGACAGAAATGTGAGATTGCATTTAGACAGTCCTCAGTTAGATTGGAAGCTGATTTGTCATCATAAAACCTATAGGCTGGCAGAGAATAGACAGACATAATCCAGGTCCTTAGGTAACACTCAATTTGCAATACTGTATCCAGCAAATCTCTTATCTGCAAATGAAGGTGAAATAAGGACCTGTGAACAAACAAATTGAAAGAATTTGCCACTGTTCACTGACCCTAACAAGCAATGCCTATGAATGCCCTATAGTCAGAACTAGAGAATAATAGTCATAATGAAAAAGGGAAAGGCAGAAAATCTCCTCGTGAAGGCAAAAGTAAATCCAAAGTAAACAGTATGAATATTTATCCAAAATGTTGGGAAGAAGTCATTACATACACATAATAATCTGAAAAGTTGATAGACTCAATTATTGAATCCAAAGAAACAAATTGGTAGACCAGATTAAAAAAAAAAACAAACAACAACAACAACAAAAACAAGTAAACACAAAGTAATCCAATGTGTATTTACAGCCCACAAGGAATATATCTGGACAACAAGCTTCTCACAAAATTTAAGTGAACAGATGCAAAAAGATATCATACATCAAACATAAGGAAAAGTGAGCAGGTGTAGCCATTTTAATATCAACCAAAATCAAGGCGATAGAAAACATCTGCTTAAAAATATGAAAGACATTATATAACAATTAAGGTATCTAGTCAACCAAAAAGCATCAGATTCTTCATCAAATCAAAGCAGTATGTGTAAACTCATACCCATCATCATACTTACTGCAGAAAAATAAAAGCATTTGCACCAAAATCTGGAATCAGTTAAGAATGCCCAGTTTCACTACTGCTGTATAATGCAATAGACATCTTGTACAAAGTCATTGATAAGACAAAAAATCAGAGCAGTACAAATTGGAAACTATCTCTGCTTGCACTTGACCATGATATCTATATCGGGGCACCAAACTAATGAGACTACTGTACTCATAAGGGAGTTTGATAAAGTTACATTATAGAACATACACCAAATTCAGTAACCTTTATATACACTAACAATTCCGTGGTTGAGAAATATCTTGTAAGATTAGTCCCATCTAAAAACCCTAAAGAGAAACTCAAATACCTTGGAATAAACTTAATCAAGGATGTGCAAGTTATCTACAAGTAAAACAACAAAACCATAAAGAAAAAGATAAAGAAAAGCATAAATAAGAGGTGGGAATCTTCCATGGTTACAAATTTGGATGCTGGCTTTTTCTCTGGCCATTCCATTTCTGACCCATATTACTTCTTGAACTAGAAAAGCAAGAGAAGATGGCCCCTGCTGGAAGAATCTCCAGGTTCCCAATATTGATCAGGATGTTATGGCCTCTGTGCTCATTAGGGGAGTAAAGTGGCAGGTTAAAGGCCCTGCTGCCTTCACTCTGTGAAATATGCCTTTTAATTAAAAATAAATCTTCATAAAGTGATGTTGAAATTTATGTGGAAATACTTGAGACCCTAAGTGGTTAAAGCAACCTTAAACAACAGAAGCAGAGCTGAAAGTATCACATTGTCAGGTTTCAAGACAGACTGTAGGCAATTGTGATTGAGACAGCCTGACACTGGCTCAAAAATGTCCATGTAGATTATTTGAACTGAACACAAACCTGAAAGAGGAATCCAGGTTACTTCAGGGTGAAGCAACAGTCTAAAGAAATGGTGCTGAGAAATTTGTATTAATGTGTGCAGAAGTAGGAAACAAAACCCTTACTTTGAAACTCTTACAAAATAACTCAAAATGGATTAAGGATATAAACCAATGACTAGATACAATCAAATTAGTACAGAAGAAAATCTGCAAGTTATAGGCTGAGACAAAACTTCTTGTAAATCACCCAATAATAGGCAATTAAAACAAAAATAAGCAATTGGTATTACATCAAGCTAGGAAGCTTCTGCACTGCAATAGAAATTGTCAACAAAGTGAATAGATAACCAAAAGAATGTAAAAAACTAACACATTATGCAACTCATGGAGGATTAGTATCCAGAATCTATACAGAGCTAAAGAAACTCAACCACAACAACAAAGCAAACAATCCAGTTGAGAAAGAGGTAAAGGACCAGAGTGGCAAGTTTCAACAGATGGCCAACAAAGGCAGTAAGAACTGATTGTTAATTTTAGGCTATATTTTTTTATGTCATTAGTATTTGGTCTGGTCTTTGAACATTTTTAGTATAGAATCTTATCATTAGAGTCAAATTTAGCCTGTGAAAATGAATCCAGGAGTAGGAGTGGGACCATTAGTGAAACAGTGGACACATCCCTTTTGGGTTGCCACTTCAACTGGTGATCATGAGAACCAGGACTGAGGCAGGCTTGGCTAGACAGAGAGTGGCACCAATGCTCATGTGTGTGGAGGGACAGACTGGATCAAACTTCTGTACAAATTGGCATGCATGGGAACCAGGGCAGATGTTTGCCTAATGGGGGTTATTGTGGGTTGCCCCAAATGGGCTACACCTCCCACTGGTTTATGTGGATAAGTGTGTTGTGGGTAGGAGCTGGCTGGGCTGCAACATCCATAGGTTTGTGCAGAGGACAGGCTGGAGATAGAACTGACCCAGTGAATGTAACCTCCAGTATGCACATAAGCTGATTGTGGTGACAGGCTGTGTTGGACCCTATATTGGCAAACACACACAAGAATCATGTCTGGGATCACCTCAGAAGAGGTTTATTTGAGGTTAGCCTAACTGAACT